CCATTGGGACTCCAAGCTAAAGCTGTAATGCTACTTTTGTGGATACCAGCAACGTCAAATCTCCGAAGCTATGAAACAATACCAAAGCAATACAAGAATGAGGGGGAAAGAAAATGCAGACAAAGCCTATTCAGTGACTTGGACTGATAAACTGGAGGTTAAGTACAAAAACACAGGTAATTCTAATTTTTATTTAGCACAAAAAACCCTAAACAAACAATCAAAAAACCCACCACCAAATAGCTCAGCCAGTTATTACAAATTAGGAATTTCTCAAAAGCATTTTTTATTAAATATATCTTTTGTAATTAAAAGCATGCTTTAAGATTATTGCTTTTATAAGCTTAAAATACGAAGCCTAAAACACATTCACAGATATTTCATCAGGCAAAATTCGCTGGTCTTCACTATTATAAAGAATCATAACACTCTACTAGGATATGCCATACTAAACCTCACAGAAGTTTAGCCAAATGCAAAGATTTACCTGTTTGTTTCTTCCAGGTAATGAAGACACAAGCTGAAAAACTGCCACCCGACCTGAGGCTGTACCAAGAGCAACTAGATCATCGAAACAACTCAACAGCTTTACAAAAGTAATAGATTCACACTTTCCCTGTTGAAACAAACCATACATAAAACTTGCAAAGTTAATGAGCAACAAACAGCAGCTCAATTCTGAGCAACTCGGCTTCATTAGAAGAGACAAGAGTAAAAGTTAGTATTTACCTCAAAATTGTATTTTTTCATCTGGTTTAAATGTCTGCAGTAGAGATAAAGCATTCCAATGCTGCTCCCCACAGCAATGTAGTCTCCATTGGTATCGAGTGCTGTGAGATATACCACAATAGAGCGAAAGCCTTTTTGGATCTTTGTAGGAATGGCATTGAGAAGATAATATAAGGGACAAAACTCCTTAAATATAACCGGTGAAGCCACAGATGCCATAGCAAGCATTGGCATCAGCAATTTTAAGGCTGAAATAAACACATCTACTTGACTGTGTAGGGAAATCTGGAAGACAAAAGCAAAACACGTGCCATTAACTTGTTTGAAAAGAGTATATGGTTAACAGAAAGGCACCATTTAGAAAGTAGGATGCAGAAATTCTCTGGTTCTTCTGTATAAAGAAAAAGCAAGTTAAACTCTTCTAGTGAATGCAAGTTAAGCTTATTCTTACGAAAAGTGTTCTTCTAAGAATATTTCTTAGGTTCAGCCAATATCTTAAGGATGTATGGTAACCACTAAATATGGGGTAATCACTTTTTCTTGCAGCTGTGAGCTCGTCAAAGTTAAGTTCAAACGCAGTATTTCTTCTCCTCCGGCTAGTGAAAGAACTGTAAGGGCTCTGACACTGAACAACCAATGCGGTATATTTCTTCACCTATCTGCAAATTCTACCCTCAATACTTCCAGTGCTCAGAGCATGGGATATTCACTCCATTAGTACTATAAGATCAAAGTATCAAACTAGTATTTATGCTCAACTCCTTAATGCCCCACACCCCAAGAAAAACACAGTTGAGGAACAATTCAGTCAGAGCTACATCTGCTATATAATCAAATAACAAACAAAAACCAAGAATACTGGGGGAAAAAGAGGGCAATGCAAACATGAAAAAAATCCCAGTTTGACAGACACAGGAAATATCCATATAGCAATTGAATTTAGAAAGATAAGGAGCAAACAGAAAAAAGTACCATATGCCCATGTTTCCCTTTATGGTTAAGCAAATAATTTCATGCTGATGCATGAAATACACTTAGGGGACAATTCTGGTATCTTTCTAAGAATAACAGAAACAAAGATTCTGTTTGCCTTCTTCAAGAAAAAAAATGTAGTCAGAGCTCATCACAGTAATAACATACTGGGATCTTCAGAAAAAGTTGGTATGACCATGCCATACCTAAAAGTATTTTAAAAATTTAATTAAACCCAGTAATTTTTCTCATCGTGGGGGGACAGCTTTGACAAGAACATTTTGCAGCAGTAGCTATTCTCCTCATGGATGACTCTGGAACACAGAAAAAAGAAAGAAACCTTCACTTCTTGAATTTTATTTTGCCATGAGCAAGTCTGATTAATGGTTGTTTAAGCCTGTAAAACTGAAGATTTTCTTAAGCTTCAGCAAAGTTCTAACTTCCTTAGAGAAGTGAAAAACAGAAATATGTCAATTGAAGTTAGAAACACTTCTAAATGCTCAAAATTATTCTGTAAAGTATTCCTACTGCAATTTGTGTGATATGCCCTACTGATATGCCTAGTTTTTATTTCTCTGAGGATGGAAAATGGTATTTGTTTGGCAGCTTCACACATTGCTTACAGTGTATATCAACTAAATTAGAAAAAATATACCTGCTTTAGTTTAATATCTCCATTACTGTGAAAAGCTCTGAGTCTCAATTTTCAAACTATTTCAGTTATTGTGCAAGAGGATTCAGCACAGTGGCTTTGGGCCCTGCAACACTTGTTGTCAACATACAATTCCACTAAATCCAAAGGGATTACTCGCATGACATTACCCATTTAAGTCCATGTTAGACAAGACCACAGGAATAAAGATTGGTTACTGAACCCGTATTTTACCTGTGTTACAAAACCTGCCAGTAAGTGAGCTAGCAGCAGTTATTAGATGTTCTTAATTGTGATAAATTCTACTGCTTGCTAGAGCTTAGAAATTAATTCCACTCTCCTCCAGTATTTACTACCAGTCATGACATCCATTTCATAAAATATCACAAGGGTTAGCTGATTAATGTGTCCAAACTATTTCTAAATGAAGAGTTGCTTTCAGAGTTGTTTTCTAAGTTAACAGATAACCTCAGTGCATCACCACTCTTTTACAATATTTTCACACACCACCTATTTCCTATCCTGTATTTTAGGTCTTCTGCCCTTTCCTTCAGCATTTACTACTTTCTATCTACACTCAACTAAATAAAAAGAGAACCCACCGCTAAAGTCTCTTGTTTGCTGTTCTAAACATGCTGCTTTGCCAGTTTAGTAATTTTACTAGCTGCTGGTCTGGTTTGGGGGGTTTGTGGGGTTTTTTTCTTTCTTTCTTTTTTCTAATAAAATAAAATCCAGTCTTTGTCCTGAGTCTCACATGCACAAATCTTCCTCTGTCTAATCTCAACTTCTACCACTCCCCAGCTACTGCCTCATGAATTTCACATATTTTGTTTTTTAAGTCCCCTTTGTCACTCCTACAATTCACATCTGTCATCATCCAAAGCTGCTCTTGTAGCTGGAACCATCTCGCACTCCCCAGTTGCCAAAGGACCTTGCAAGTCCTCAAAATTCATTCTCTCTCTTAGTTACCATCACTTATCGTTCCAGCTCAACTAAACTGCTAAAAACATAGTAATTCATTACAAACTATGGAATTATGGAAATTTGTGTTATCCAGAAAAAGACTATTACTCTTTCCTCTACAACTACCTTATCTGCAACCTGATGTACGTTTTGTAAGTCTACACTTAATTTAAAAAGAGGAAAGAAAAGGGAGAGTTTGATAGGGTTCCCCCCCACTCCCCCCCCCCCCCCCAAAAACCAACCACACTGGGAGGAATTATTTCTTGTCATATACTAAGTTAAATTAAAAAAAAACTGCTGTCAGGTTAGGGTTCTCACTCTTCATAAAATTTATATACAATCTTATTTCAATCTTCTCTGATGACAAAGTTTTACAAAAATGAAATTAAGTTTTGTTCTCTGTAACCCATTCACCCTGTACAATTAAAAAGTGTATTAATAAACTACAATTTCTTGCCATCATACACAAATTAGTTTCACCTTGAATGGTTTACAACTAACAAAACACTTGCACTGCTTGTGTGGAAACATATAACGAAGTTCAAATCATTACTTTACTAAAAATACTGCCAATTAAGTAATTTTATCTACACAAACCAAATGTATAAAGGACTAGAGAATTGCAATGTGGCCTATATATTCAAGAACCGCACAAACACCACAATTTTCTGCTTTTGAGCCTAAAGTCTTCAACATCCCCCTAATCACAGTTGTGTATCACATGTAGTCTCTTTCTCTTTATTAACAGCTTTAGGATTATTTGCTATCTGTTCTTCTTACTTCATTAATCAAAGGCAAACAGTGGATATAATCTATTTTCTCAGACAGATTTTGGAATTGGATGCACATGTTCACACTGCATCAGCCACAGTTACTCTGAAGTACATAACAGCCGTACAGGGCAAATCAGCTTGTGCTAAGCTGCTATCCTGCAGCAGAGATAAAGTAGAGAAAAATACCTTATGTTGCATATCAAAAACAATCACCAGATGAAGAGGGTCCTTCCTTCTCAACTCACAAAGTTCAAAACAAGTTTTTAAATATTGCATTCAAGGCCATGTTTTGAAAAGCAAACTTTTTTTCATTTTCTCTGGTCTCAGAAACAGGAATAAGGCTCAATGCTGCCTAACAGAGGCAACTGAAGCAAGAGATAATCCCATGGTTAAACAAATAAGCAGTGGTTAAAGGTTCAGTGCGAGGGTGTGCCACAGATTGACTGCAGAAGGCTAAAGCTGTCACTGCATTTCTCTGAGCCCGAGTGTCCTGTGTGTACAAGGGCGAAAACAGCTCTGTGTTTTTTTATTCTTTGACACAAAAACTTAAATTTAAGTTCATCAGAGTATGGACAAATTCGTATATATGACCACAGCTAAACACAACAATCTACTATCTCAGCTAGATCCTGCCAACTAAAAAGAAAAGTGGTTTTATTTTCTAATACTTCTTGCATTTTTAGCCTACGGAGCAGGGTACTCGACTGCCACATCTCCAGAGCTTTTCCCAGCAAAGAGCTGCCAAGCAGAGGGGAGAACACAAATTCACAGCCCACTGAAGGGAACGCTGAGGAACCCGATTAACACGCCTGTCGCTCTACGCAACTCATGAAACGCTGCATTTTTGCTCAAGAGTTTCTTTTGAAAGAAGAAAAAAACCACAACCAAACAATCCAACGTAGGTGTCAGAGATGGAAAGGACAGAAAAAGGAGCACCTGGGGTCACTGCCCATGCAGGTACGCTGAGGGGGGCAGCGGAAACCGGGCTTTACTCACTCCGATGCTCTTGGGACACCCAGTTTCTCTAGGAAACCCTCCTTCCCTAAATGTGTTTCTATATTCTAGCAGTTGTTTCAAACCAGTCCTTCCTAACACGCTGCGTTCTAGCACTTGAGGGGTTTCCAGCTCCTGACAGGGGAGGAAGAACACAGCCGGGGGCTCCCGGACGGACAGCCAGCAGCGCCGCCTCGCTTTCCCGCTGGCTTTACCTCAGCTTATGCCGGATTTACCCCCCGGACCAGACCGAGAGCCGCAGCCGGGGCGGGGGGGGCGGGGGGGGAG